GTTTATTGTACAATCTCTTGTTGAAAATGCATTATGGTCTACAAAATTACATCCTGGAAAATTCTACCATGTTGGTATTGTGCCAGATCGTCATAACCAAACTTTTGTTAATGATTTGAGAATGATGGTATCTGCAGATGAGACTGGATTTTACCCTGTGGCTTTTAATTCACGACGTGCCCGTAAGCCACTACCTACTCATATAACAAATAATTCTAATTGTAAGTTAATCATTAATATATAACATCATTTCATAATGCTATTTATTAGGTTGGATGTATAATTTATTTTTATATTACCTAGTTTTATCTTATTTAAATATAATAGGGAACTCATGGGAAATCTTTGGAACAAATGTATCCGTTAAGTTAGATGCTAGATGGGTAATAGACTATGAGAGAATAATTACAACAGACCAGAAAGAGTTTGATATCGCTGGATTGGGTATTGATGAATTAATTGACGCATATGTGCAAACTGTGTTAAGTATTATTGCTATAGATAAAATGTGTCAAAAACTTTTGGTTAATAATGAATTCAATTTTGAATTATATCACACGTTGAATCCTGATAATGTCTTATTAAGTGAGTTGAGATTAAATTTATAATAAACATATTCAATTATCACGTTGACTTTAGCATATTTTTATTTTTATTTTTACTATACTATTTATGAGTTTATACAAGAAATTATATTAAACTATAAAAGTATTAAAATATCTTATGCTAGTGTTATTACAAATTAGAAAAGCAACACGTGTGCATTTACAGTTTAGCCCTAGAAACTTGGATGCATTAATAAAGAGAATGACCAAGAACAATACAGTGGTCATGGGAAAGATCCAAAAAAATTGTAACATTGTGTCTTTCATAACTTTAGAACGGCGGTCCGTTTTTAATGATTGTACTTAAAATATGTGCTACAAATTGTAGCATTTATTTAAGCTGAGATTATTTAGCGAATTAGCCGTTTTAGAATATGGCTATTAATTGACGATAAATGTCAAAGTCGGAAATTAGAAATAATGAACGATTATGTGTATAATGCAAATATTTCTTGAATGGCTAGAGGTTAGAATCGGTTGTAAATTCAAAAATCGAATTGGATTTATATGTAATTGATATTTAGGTTAAAACAGTTGAATTTAACGTTAAACCGAATTGAATAGGTTTTTGTGAAATACGTATATTTTATTTTATTGGTTGGTCAACAAGAATTCTGATCGGTTAAAATGAAAATATTACGGCATGTTATACAGTATAAAAAAGACCGTTTAGAATAATATAAACCGATTTAGGAATTTAAAATTGAATTACACTGTAGTAGTCGATTCAGACTTTTAGGGCACCTACCTCAATGAATTCCATAAAGAATTTGATTGCCCAGTTTGATCAAACAAACCAATCAGATCCTTTGTTGAGTCCATAAGGTGGATAAGATAGTGCATTACGGTATACACAGGTACAGAAATTATTTGATTTTAAATTATTACATAGTTTATTAAGCAAATGTTAAATTCACATACAGTACGTATGACAGCATATTTATAAAATTTAGATTGCATGATATTAAAAGTATATGAATGACTCAAAATTTGATGATATTTCAATATGCGTCTTATAAGTTTTTAAGAAAAGATTTTAATAATCTTGACAAGCTAAATTAAACCTATTTTTAGATATTTTAAAAGATTTAAATAAAATTCCTAATGCAGGATATATTCATGAAGACTTTTATAGAAGTAATATTTGCAAGATGAACAGTATCAATCTTATATCTCAGATAGTCTAGGATCGTCTAGAAAATATAATGAAAATAATTCAAAAAGTTGTAATTACAGAGTTATGCACTAGAGGTTTTATCAGATCGAGTTTATAGAAAAGCTGTTATTTATGGTTTGGAGTTATCGTATCAGAGATGTCAACTGGGCAAAGGCCTTTGATGATTTGCAATAAAGATTGGTTTTAGATTTAGGCCTGGATCGACTCCGAATTACTATATTAAGTTAGCTAAGCAATGTATCCACAAAACGGTCTACTGCTTATGATACATATTTGGAACGAATTTAATGAATAGAACAAGTCATGCGCCTGATTATGCGCTGGAAGTTTGTTTATATATATTTTTATATTAAATGCCAATAGATAATTTAGCTTTTGAATTCTATTTTATTGTGTAGCAATTCTTTTCTGTTTTAGTGTAATAATGAGATTTGATTTCGATTTAATAGTTTTTGTTAAAATTTTGGGTTATAAATATGAATAGGTTCTTCATATTTTAGCTTTTTTCTGTTTTGTTTTTTGGTCCTTAAGTAATTTGTTCTGGGTAAGTTCTAATTCGGATCAATCCATCATCCATTTATTCGATATTATGACCGGTAGGATGGCTTATAAGGTTTTAAACCAATTTTGCTTCAAACATGTATAAATAGTAATTAAGGCTAAATGGTTTAAATCAATAAATTAATACACATAATTATAGGTTATAGGGTTCTCTTTATTAACATAAATCAATACATCAGATTATATAATAATTCTAAATATTATTAACAATTGTTCTAATCCTTATTTACAGGCTAAAACTATATCTAATATATATTTTTAATTCATATGAAAGCTTCAATCCCTCACTTAGAGCTTCAATCTCTTGATTAGAAATTTAATCTCTTGATTGAAGCTTAAATCTCTCATTTGGAGCTTTAATCACCCAATCATGGCACAAACTAAATAAAAATAAGAAATTTTTTTTTTTTTTTGATATTAAGGTGATCTTCATTAGTCTGGGGAACTTTTTATTAGAGTATAGATAGAGTTTTATATGTAATTACAACAATAGTACATCAAGCTACACATGCACCTTTTGAGTGCCTAATTTAAGTAGTCTGCTCGAAGGTTCTACACTATCTGCCATACCTGCACCAGCTAGGGGGATATCCATTTAAACCATCTGGTTCTAACTACCTCCATCAGCCCTCTAACTCGGAGAGTTTCTTTACTAAACTAAGTAGATATTGGTATCACCCCACATTGGCTTTTGCACCCTGCCTTAGCCATATAGGCCTAGTCTATCCTCAAAGTAAATCTAACATAGTGGTACATGTTCCACACATGTATTCACATGCTTGTTTCTATCCCTTAATATGTAGACCAAC